AGCTTATGAATTTTCCCAACATTCAACTAGGGACTAGTAACTCAGAAGTTCCCTCTATTATTTCCAGTAGTGTCCTGGGCATACATAAATTGTTCCACAGTCTGTCCAAATAAAGTAAGGCCCCTTGGCAGGGGCAGAGTATTGAAGCTTGCTCTAACTTTCCCCTAGAAATAACCTCTGCACTACAGAGCAGGAACTGGCAGGGATGATGGGGAACTTATTCTTCATGGGCTGGACCACCCTAATCCATCTTATGTGTGTGTTGGGGAATGGTGCAGGAACTGGTGCCACTGCCCAGCTGCTACCACTCTCCACTATAGCTCTTCTGCAGCACAGAGCCAGGGAGAATGGGATCTGTCAACATTCACCAGCTGCCATATCCACCCAGAATAGAATAGCCTTTTCTACCAGGAAGGTGGGGGAAATGGGAGCTGCCACATGGCTGCTGAGCCCAGCAGAGCAGCCCAGCAGAACAACAGAGCTGTGGGGGAAATGGAGGACTGTGCTCGTCTCCATCTTCTCCACCTGGATCTTCCCTACAGAGCAGCGGTTGAGGATGGAAAAACAGGTGTTGCCACCCGCTTGGTAGAGATCATCCGCTGCACGGAGCTTGGGGAGATGGATCTGCCAATATTTACCAGCTGCCAAATCCATCCAGATTAGATCTTCTACCCCAGGGAACTGAGAGAGTTGAGAACTGCCACTCAGCTGCTGAGCCCACTGGATGAGCTCTTCTGCAGCATGGAGCTGGGTGGGGGAATAAGTGAAGCCTCTAGCTCTAATTCCATGGCCTCCCACTGTTCTTAAAAAGTTCCCGTAGATTCTGTTGAATAAATGCTTCTCAGTTTGTTTTAAGTCCTATAATCAGTCTCCAGAGATTTTAAACATTTGTCTTTGCTAATTTTGACTCGTTTAGTAGATGTTTTTCTGTGAGACAGATTTCACTGAGCTCATACTACTACTATTCTGTAAGTCCTACTGACCCTGTCAATAAAAGATAAATCATGCTTACACTACCTCCCACCTTCTTTACCCTTTCTTCCTGATTTTTGTTTACTTATGGTATTTCTCCCTGTCAGGGTTTATAACATTTACATTCTAATCCATATCTATAATCTTCACATGTATTTTAGTGTTTGCTCTACAATTAAATGGATTCAATGCTCACTCTCTTAGCTAGATTTGCTCTCTGATGATTTCTTCAAGAAGAGCTAATGTATGCTAAATTCCCTGAGTTTCTTTTTTTTTTTTAAACATGGTTAAAAATAACTTGAATGTCAGCTTGGCCTTATAACCTAA